TGTGTCAACCAATGTTCAAGTGCTTCTGTGTCAATCAATGTTTGATTGCTTCTGGGTCAACTAATGTGTGATTGCTTCTGTGTAGATCAATGTCCCATTGCTTTTGTGTCAATCAATGTGTGATTGCCTCTGTGTCAACCAATGTCTGATTGCTTCTGTGTCAACCAATGTCCCATTGCTTCTGTGTCAACCAATGTGTGATTGCTTCTGTGTCAACCAATGCATCAGTGCTTTCGTGTCAACTAAAGTGCCATTGCTTCTGTGGCAACCAATGTGGATTGTTTTTGTCAGTGTGTCACTTTAAATGAACCAGTACCAGTGTAACGTTTAAGTACTTAGGAGACAAAATTGTTTGGAACAGTAATCCTTTATAACAATTCATATATACCAATGAAAATTATTGGCTTTGTTTGTGACACAAATGCTAAAGATAAAAGGATAAACATATATCCGTTCACTCATCCAATAGAGCCTAATACATAACATAAGCCTTTAACATATGAAAACATCATTGTCCAGCAGAGTGTATTGTTTCAATGGTAATTGTATGTATCCTACATGTACCGTGCATGTACCGTGCATGTACCCTGTATGCACCCTGCATGTACACTGTATGCACCCTGCAAGTACCCTACATCTACCATGTATGTACCCTGTATGTATCCTACATGTACCCTGTATGCACCCTGCATGCACCCTGCAAGTACCCTACATCTACCATGTATGTACCCTGTATGTATCCTACATGTACCCTGTATGTACCCTGCAAGTACCCTACATCTACCATCCATGTATCCTGTATGTACCCTGTATGTCCCCGGCATGTACCCTCTATGTACCCAGCATGTACCCTGTATATACCCTGTATGTACCTGGCATGTACCCTGTATGTACCCTGTATGCACCCTGCAAGTACCCTACATCTACCATGTATGCACCCTGCATGTACCCTGTACATACCCTGCATGTACCCCGTTTGTACCCTGTATGTACCCTGTATGTACCCTGCATCTACCATGTAAGTACCCTACATGTACTCTACATCTACCATGTATGCACCCTACATGTACCCTGCATGTAACCGGTTTCTACCCTGTATGTACCCTGCATCTACCCTGCATATACCATGTATGTACCCTACATGTACCCTGAATGCAGCCTGCATGTACCCTGTAAGTACCTTGCATGTACCTTGTATGTACCCTACATCTACCCTGCATGTACCATGTATGTTCCCTACGTCTACCCTGTATGTACCCTGGATTCACCCTCCATGTACCCTACATGTACCCCATATGTACCATGTATGTACCCTGCAAACACCCTGCATGTACCCTGTTTGTACCCTGTATGTATCCTACATGTACCCGCATGTATCCTATATCTACCATGTATGTACCCGACATATACCCTGTATGACCCTGCATGTACCCTGCATATACGCTATATCTACCATGTATGTACCCGACATATACACTGTATGACCCTGCATGTACCCTGTATGTACCCTGCATGTATCCTACATCTAACATGTATGTACCTGACATATACCCTGTATGACCATGCATGTACCCTGTATGCACCCTACATGTACCCTGTATGCACCCGACATATACCCTGTATGTACCCTGCATGTTCCCTGTATGTACCCTACATCTACCATGTATGTACCCAACATATACCATGTATACACCCTGCATGTACCTGTATGTACCCTGCATGTACCCTGTAAGTACCCTGCATGTACCCTACATCTACAATATATGTACCCTACATCTACCCTGTATGTACCCTGCTTGATAGTGTATGTATCCTGCATGTGTCCTGTATGTACCCTGCATGTATCCTGTACATACCCTGCATGTACCCCTGCATTGACCCAAATAAAAGTTGCATGTAGCGTGCTCTTGTACTATTGTAACCAAGATGTCATCACAATGTTGCATGTCGTATGCTCTTGTACTATTGTAACCAAGATGTCATCACAATGTTGCATGTAGTGTGCTCTTGTACTGTTGTAACCAAGATGTCATCACAATGTTGCATGTAGCATGCTCTTGTACTATTGTTACCAAGATGTCATCACAATGTTGCATGTAGCATGCTCTTCTACTATTGTAACCAAGATGTCATCACAATGTTGCATGTAGTGTGCTCTTGTACTATTGTAACCATGATGTCATCACAATGTTGCATGTTGTGTGCTCTTGTACTATTGTAACCAAGATGTCATCACAAAGTTGCATGTACTGTGCTCTTCTACTATTGTAGCCAAAGATGTCATCACAATGTTGCATGTACTGTGCTCTTCTACTATTGTAGCCAAGATGTCATCACAATGTTGCTTGAAGTGTGCTCTTCTACTATTGTAACCAAGATGTCATCACAATGTTGCATGTTGTGTGCTCTTGTACTATTGTAACCAAGATGTCATCACAATGTTGCATGTACTGTGCTCTGCTACTATTGTAGCCAAAGATGTCATCACAATGTTGCATGTACTGTGCTCTTCTACTATTGTAGCCAAGATGTCATCACAATGTTTCATGTATGGTGCTCTTCTACTATTGTAACCAAGATGTCATCACGATGTTGCATGTAGTGTGCTCATGTACAAGTGAAACCAAGATGTCATCACAATGTTGTATGTTGTGTGCTCTTCTACTATTGTAACCACAATGTCATCACAATGTTGCATGTAGTGTGCTCTTGTACTATTGTAACCAAGATGTCATCACAATGTTCAATGTAGTGTGCTCTTATACTATTGTAACCAAGATGTCATCACAATGTTGCATGTTGTGTGCTCTTCTACTATTGTAACCAAGATGTCATCACAATGTTGCTTGTACTGTGCTCTTCTACTATTGTAACCAAGATGTCATCACAATGTTGCATGTAGTGTGCTCTTGTACTATTGTAACCAAGATTTCATCACAATGTTTCATGTAGTGTGCTCTTCTACTATTGAAACCAAGATGTCATCACAATGTTGCATGTAGTATGCTCCTGTACAATTGTCACCAAGATGTCATCACAATGTTGCATGGTGTGTGCTCTTCTACTATTGTAACCAAGATGTCATCACAATGTTGCATGTAGTGTGCTCATGGTACAATTGTAACCAAGATGTCATCACAATGTTGCATGGTGTGTGCTCTTGTACTATTGTAACCAAGATGTCATCACAATGTTGCATGTAGTATGCTCCTGTACAATTGTAACCAAGATGTCATCACAATGTTGCATGGTGTGTGCTCTTGTACTATTGAAACCATGATGTCATCACAATGTTGCATGTAGTGTGCTCATGGTACAATTGTAACCAAGATGTCATCACGATGTTGCTTGAAGTGTGGTCTTGTACTATTGTAACCAAGATGTCATCACAATGTTGCATGTAGTATGCTCCTGTACTATTGTAACCAAGATGTCACCACAATTTTGCTCATAGTATGCTCTTGTTTTATTGTAACCACAATGTTGCATGTAGCATGCTCTTGTAACCAAGATGTCATCACAATGTTGCTGGTAGCATGCTCTTGTACTATTGTAACCAAGATGTCACCACAATTTTGCTCATAGTATGCTCTTGTTTTATTGTAACCACAATGTTGCATGTAGCATGCTCTTGTAACCAAGATGTCATCACAATAATGCATGTCGTGTGCTCTTGTTCTATTGTAACCAAGATGTCATCACGATGTTGCTTGTAGTGTGCTCTTGTTCTGTTGTTTATTGGTTGGTTAACACCGCATTCAGCAATATTCAAGCTGTATGAGGGCAGTCTCTTAATTATCGAGTGTGGACCAGACAATCCAGTGATTAAGCAATCATGAACATGGATCTACGCAACTGGGATACGATGACATGCATCAACCAAGTCAGCGAGTCTGACCACCCAATCCCGTTGTACTATGTAACCAAGCTGCCATCACAGTGTAACAATTACAATGTTGCATGTAGTGTGCGCTCATACTAGTCTAACCATGCTGCCATCACAATGTGGCAATCACATGGTCTAGTACAATGGTAACTGAGTTGTCACTGAGATGCAGTAATTATGTGCCGTTACAATGTTGGGACAAATATGTCACTTGTTCCATTGGAACATGACGGAGTGTCAACATGGGAAAGTAAAATGCCATGCAGTTGGCCAGAAGCCACTTAAGGTCATCAGGATCCATCGGTGTCAAGCGAACATGTTGGCTTCATGAACAACACTTTGCTTGCATCTGGCTAAAACATTCTTCCAATAAAAAGGTACCTTACTCGTGGGGGCACAGATACCAGTGAAACTATTTTCAATAATTCTCACTGAGCATAGTATTTGCTTCAACTGGACTGGCTAGTTTCTTTCATTTTCATTGTTTGCGATGGCGCTCATGGCAACATGACGTCATTGAATGCACTGATGAAATTTAGGGAATATTATGTTACATCTTTCCACCAAGAGAAACTGAGCTTATGTCTCAACTTGGTATCAGGAAACCCACACTTTTCTACATTTTCTCAGAAAAATAGACTATCGGTAACATTAAACAACCCACATTTAAACTTTGGGAATTATGAATTATCTGTCCCTACTGATTTAATGTTGAAAAATTAATTCACTCTGGACAGATAACCTACAATTCCTCATAGCCTATTCCCCAAATAGTATCCTTAAATTTTCCTTATATTTATGCCTTCCTTAAGCTTTTATCTACACCAAGGGCAGATCTAGCATTTTTAAAAAGGAGGTGTTCAAAATATGAGAATCTTTACTCAGATAATTTTACTGCATGAGACATACATTTGGTTTTCAAAGAGGGGGGTCTAGACCCCCTGGATCCACTTATGTACACAATATCAACATGTTCTCATTCACTCCACAGAAATACTGATTCATTGCACAAAGAGTATTATTGCTCATGGACCAGACAAACTCTTCCTCGTCACCATTCCTACAACATCCATCACATGCTCACACATCGAAACTTTAAAAACAAACAAGAATGTGAGCTTGGTGCCTATTTTATTATTTGTATTATCATACAGACAGTAGTTTCTAGGTCCTGTTGCATATCTGTGAGATGGTCACATTGATCAGCACAATAACAACATACTATAGTACAGTGGTTTGGGGGAAGGTAGTTATATACCAAACATGGGCTACCTTCGCTTACAAATTGCTGCTGCACTGCTGCCTCTGATTGACCAATCAGAACGCTGCTGCATGCTACGACTTCGTCTCAAAATGGTTGACGAGTCATGGTCTATACTACAAAGCAAAAAAGCTTAACAAAAACAGTCTAAAAATAAGGTTGGATAAACTACTCAACCCATCTAAAATTGTCGCAGCTGGTTTTGCTTGAGAGGTTAAATTGCACCACAAAAGTTCACACGCTTTATGTAGAAATACAAACGACGGACAAACGATTGTATTGCACAATAATCCATTGTTTTGACAAAAATCAAGGTTCATGACTAGTTGCTGCAGTTACCTGCGGCTTAATTTAAACTTGATTGGCTAATTCATGTTACATTAAATTCCCTATACATCATAAATGATAAATTAGAACTTAGCACACACAGCTTGACAACCAGTACGGTATGAAATTCGTAATGCACCAGTTGAATTGTTTACACACATCACGAAAGGGAGACATTGCATATATTGCCAAAAACCATCAAATTACATGTCCATATTCAAACTCACAAAATTAATATCTTAACACCAATTTTGAACATTTCCAATAAAAAAAGAAATCTTGCTCAGTTTTCATAACAATTAAGATTAAATGAAAAATTTCAATTATTTTTTCAGACTGCGGAATGTTTGAATATGTACAAGTTCCGATGTTTTTTCTTCGTAATGACTCCCTTCTAAATAATCAACACAAAATTGAGAGTCATGTACACTTAAGTAACACTGCTTCCATATGAGTTATACAAACCTATACCGACATTGCAGAGAAAACCGTCCACTATTTAAATGCTGCCTTATGGTCTACGGTATTAACACTTAGGGGAATGATATGAACGCTGAATGGTAAATTTGGAAAAAAAGGCCTCATGACATAGTTTTAAATCATATGTGACCTTTGCACAGAAGAGATACAAAAGCTTCAGAATTCTTGATTCAAGAAGTAGCACTTATAGCGTATAAGTTATGAAATAAATATAACTTTGTTCATCATACGTTTAAAGAAATCTCAGATCTTCACTTAATGAGATTCTAAAGCATCTTCATCTAAACCAACTTCATAAACCAATTTGATAAAATGTTCTTTTAACAATAAATCAAACATTCATTAACATTAAACATGTTCGTGCCCTATCCACAAAAATATAACAATTTCACATTAAAATATATGAACCCAGAGTAATACCCTATATCATTTAGGACAGGATGATATGGTAAATGGATTTGTCATGGACAAACAATCAGCAAACTAAAGCTGCTACACATAGCAAATAAATACCACAGGAAGGCGATATGTTTTCTGGCAATGCCAAAGTTTGTCAAGATGGCGCAGTGGACACCCTCACAGATGGATCACTGCAGCGAATACTCAAGCACTGTCGAGTCGCACCGCGGCACTGTGCAAGAACCCAGCCATTACGAGTTCCACATGTACGTACACCAGCATCTGGTATGTTCCCACACTGCCTGGTGTGATGTTCCACCGATATAATGTGTCCTTTTGTCCACTCTCCATAGTTGCCAGAGCAGGCCCAGTCTCACACAAAACAAACACTGCTACAGCTAACACAACTCAGACGCAGGCAGGGAGACCCTCTCAACGGGGCATGCCTCCTCGTTGCCATGACAACACAATGGACGCATCCTCGTAAGGACGTATCTTATATTTTTCTTGTTGAAAAAAACGTTTTGTTACAAAAAATGTTTTTTGTTCATTCATGATAGTATTGGCATCTGGGTGAATTCAGATGGCATCAGATCGTCTAACTATCAGATTTCCAGCTATACAAGGGTCAAACATACATGTTCTCATGAACTACAGAGAGACAATTACATGGAGATTCATACCAATGTACACATCTCAATGGTTTCTACTGGTGCAGTTATTAGCTACAGCAGCGGGCTAGAACAGCACGAGACAGTTTATATATTATATATTTATTTATAAATGCATCAAAACAACCGTACAGAAAACATACACTTAATAGAAACTGAGACGCTTTCTATGTACATATTGGACCCTGAATAGTGGGGTTGAATCGATGAATATGTATATTTATTGCATGGACCTTGGAAACACCTATCACGTAGTTTCCAGCTGACAAACGATCATGTGACATGGAATAAATAAATAAATAACTTAGTATACAACAAAGAAATACACCTCGGCCCTCTGGGGATTCAAATTTTCACCGAAACTGGTGCAGATTTTTTTTACATAACTTCAAATACACTGTACATGAAATTAACAATGTTCTATACTGTTGAGATGATTGCTTCGAGTCTCAGTAAATATATAGGTGGAATGGAAAAAGTCATGGAATGGATTTTATAAGATACATGAGCTTAATTGTTTTGAACCGATATCATGTCACAAGATTCTTCCTATTGCTTAGAGAAAAAAGAAATGATCTAGATTTAGCACCATGGTGTTATTTTGTCCCTATTTCGCTTAACACTCGAAGTAACCATCGCTGGACTGAGATTTTTTCGTAATACGCAAACCTTGGTCATGGATTTCATAAAATGTCTATAAAACATAAATGATATATAAGATTCCACTCGCACATTATCATCTTGATCAAAATGACCAAAAAATACTTTGATGATCATAACAATACAATGAGCACAATCTGACAAATACTGAAAATCAGAACACAATTTCAACAAAATCAACCACAAAAAAATAACTAAAAAATTAATTTATCATGATTATCTACACTATAAATGTGAAAAATATTGCACATTATCTGAACCTCATTGCGATTCCGCAAAAAGTCTTTGTTTCCACAGAGCTCGTTAGACACTAACGAACTATACAATAAGACAGGTAATAGGGAGGCGCAATGAAATGACTAGTTCAATGGAATGATGAAAATGGGTATAAAACCTCTCTTGGCTCCATACAAATATGAATTGAGATATGATATGTCTCCGAATGACCTACACGTCGCAATATGTATCAACTCCATGGGCATAATAACTGATTTGTCATCCAAAACAACTTGCAAACGATAATAGTAAAGCGATTGGTAAATAGATTAGCAATAGCCAAAACAAAATATGAAGCACATAGGATGGATCTTCAGTGGTAATAATGTGTATGGTCTTGGACCATGTCTTTTTTTTAAATCAGAGGTTAAAACCAGATACCTTTCGGTATATGATAAATAAATAAATATAAAAATTTGGCTAGGACTTAGAGTCTGCAATACCTGATTTGTTAAGAGAAACAATAATTTAAATTAGGGTCAATATTAAATTAAATAATTTACATAATCAACAGCTGATGGAATGTTGAAAACGAAGCAAAAATACAACTTAAATAGCAATAACAAACTAAACATGTCGGTTGGTCTTTGGATTGCATCGAGCATGGCTATAGGACAACGACAATGACACTTCTGAGGTCATGATGACGAGAAAAGTAGTCCCGGCTCTGATGTATGAATCTATGAGAGCGAGCAAGGAGATCCACAATTGTGACATACATGGTTAACTCTTCGTACACGAACTCGCACTTTCACGGTTGTTGTTCCCGTTATCGTCTTGCCACTTATCCAAAGACCTGCGTCGGGCATTCATGAAGAAGTTGGCTACTGTGCTTACTTCAAGTCCAAGTTGCTGTGCAATAGTAGCTTGCATCTCCTTCGACGGACGTTTTGTTTCCTTAAATATTGCATGAAGCGTACGGCGTTGAATATCTGTGAACACCAGTCGAGGTTTTTTTGGAGGTCGATTTTCCTCGGGCGGCTTTTCTTGCTCTGCCTCTTTCCTCTTGCATGCTGGAAGAAAATTTCCAAAATCATAATTAGAGAGATCCTCACTGATATGAAAATAAGAAATGACATTTGGGAAGAAATTAGATGCATCAATAAATGAACAGATACATATTTTTCAAGTCTAGAATAAAGATCAAGGGAGATAACCAAGGTAGGGGAAAATTCATATAATTATTAGCTCAGAATGGCTTTGGATTTAAGAACAAAATTTATTCGCTTTTTTTTTTCAAATGAAATATACCCTCACTATGGTACCTGCCTAGACTATATTTAATCCTGAGTGATTATTTCTCTATTAATTAGTTTATCAGAAGACATCTATTTTATAAGAGGCCACTTAATTACACAGTACCTCGAGCATGGAAAGGCTTCGTCTTTGCAAGTCCACCTTTCCATGACTGAAAATATAACAGGCTGAGAATAGCCTTAACAGTTCCAATAATCAGATATTGGGTATACTAAAAATGTCACATTCAATATTTTCTATAGTCATGTTTGTTTCTCCCTTTGGTGTTATAAGGCAAGCTGCTTCTTGGAATACTGTTACTTTGCCAGAGTTACCTCCCTTTTGTGACTGCACTTTGTTAGTTAGCTCCACCGTTTCTAGGATACAGCTACGATTTATAGCCAAAGAAATTACAGAGGGAAGTCTATCACCAATGAAATACACTTTATGAATAATGACGACCAGGTGTTAATTCTCAGTAAGGAAGATAAAACATGTCATATCAACTTTATTTCTATAACAAAACATGACAGCATTAGCAGGAAACCTGATATTTTGTTTATAAACAGTTAGGATTGAATTTTTCAAAATGTTCAAAAATATTTCTGTGATCAGCATATTCAATCCTTTGGCAAGAATGGAGTGACATTTTCATTTTCTTATGATAAATTGCATGAATCTTTTTAAGAAATGCATGAAAGTTGGCGGGATCAGCGTCATGGTAATGAGACTGTTATTACATAGCGTTGTGGTGACTGTAACCAGTTGTTACATAGTGCTAAACCCTCACATCCTTCTATCCTGGTGCTGCTGTCACATGGTCAAATTATGACACTTACATTTCCATGGAAACAGGAACCCATACTTAGTTACAAATTACTCTTTAAACATAGCCTCGGTCATAGTATCAATGTCATGATGAAACTGCTTAAAATCTCTGTTTTTGTAAATCAATTACACATTTGTTAAGAAACTCAATATATTTTAGATACTACTACTATGATAATGTCAACCTGAATTATCTGGTTACCTTATTTTTATGCCTAGTCAGGTATGCTAGAAATGACTTATAATGAGACATTGAGCTTATTGACCAAAACAATTCTAAGATGCATGCAAAATAGGAGGCAAAAGCGTGAAAACGCGGCACTTCAGCAAAAAATCAAGAACAGAAATCAAAAACAAAGTGCAGCTTCAATTAATCATCTAAAAACTTCACAGAATTCACAAACTCCAAGTTAGCTTTGCACCAGTGAGAATAAATACCATCATGCACAAAATTTGAGATGTTTTCAGGGTGGGTAGCAGGTAACAGCAGTTGCAGTGGCTGTTCCGGGGACCTCCCTACTCACCTTGCGAGAAGCGTGGCTGCTGGCCAGGACCTTGGCCGGGGTAAGTTTGGGTGTGATAGGGCTGTGAGGAGGCTGTACCTGTTGAAATAGAGGAGGACGTGTCTAAGAGCTCACTCCCAATGAGGTGGGTGGTTAAAGGGCAGGACTTGCTCACCATTTCTTGGCTCATAATTTCCCTTACATTTTCCCCCCAGTGTTGGAATTAAACCTTCTTTTCCTATATTTCATTTCCAGTATTGGAATTCAAACTTTCAAACCATGTATTTAAATTTTGATATTACACATCCATGAAAATCAGGACGGTGATGTAATGATGAATCATGTCAGTTGGACCGATTTCAGTTCGGTGAAAAAGATCACAGGTATTACTACAGATGAAAACAGCCCTAAACAACTGAGGAATGTGGTAACTGATTGCACTGAGACCAAGGAAAGATGAGCAGGCTATGTAACAAGCACACAAGCCAATAGGGGCACGATGCATGGCACCACATGAGGAACCCAAGGTGGATCACAATGTCAGTCTGGAATCAATTTTCTTAACTAAACACATTTTTCCATTGCAGTTTTTTCCACACTGTTACCTGTTTATCATAAATGGGATAGTCATCAACGCAAAATAGTGATCAGCAAATCATGAAATAAATGCATTAAATCAATATCGCAAAATATCTATTGAACATAAAATGTGCGATAAATCAAAATTCAAAACTCTAACAATTGGAGCAGTCAAAATGATCTCTGTGCTGAAAACATGAGCATGTTTGCTAATTACCCTGTATGTATCATGCATGTTGAAGATGAAGATGAAGATGAAGATAGAGATGAAGGAAGGAGGAAGGAAGATGTGAGTCTTGTTAGATATAGCTTCATAAATACACAACTAATCACCATCACAAGTATCATGCAACTGACCACAAAGTGACATCAACGAAAATGAAAACGTCATGTACAACATCCACTTTTGATCTGCCAATATTGATAAATGGGAACATTACGATTTCAGCAAACCATGCAACATGAATCATGTCAAAGTCGTAAAAGTATTACTCAATTTTCCTTGTTTTTCAGCAGGAAAATAAACACTGTCTATTGTTTGACTGGGCACTTAATAACATGTAGCCTTACATAGCAACGTCAACTCTCATGGAATTTTCTCACCGTTGGCGGACTTTAAACTCATCTTCGTACATTTATGACAGGGTTGCCCTGGTGGGTCAAAGCCTGCATTATTAATCAACTGCCTTATTTATAATGAAATAACTAGTATGTCACTTAAGCTTACAAAACACTGTCATTCCCTTATCTTCATGCATTGAAAAAATCTTAATAAATGGGAAATTATTACATCTTTGACCCTTTTTTTGTCCATATTTATCTGGTCTGGATCATGAATATACCATGGAAGTTCATTTAATCAGAAAAGTTGTATCTGCATGGCCAGTTGAAGTTTTTAGTGCAATGTAAAGTATTCATTTATCTAAGAGCAAGAATAAAAAATAAGACGAGATTGTATCAACAAGGATGGTCATGGCATTCTAAGAATGGGCAATACCCAGGATAACAAATCACTTGTAGATAGTTTCCATTTAAACGTAGGTATGTGTGAGTCAATGTTTACAACTCTGTGTATATTTAGCCTAACAATTACATTTTGTCTGATCCTTGAAAAGAATTACAAAGTACAATCCAGTACAATGCGTTATTCATCAACACTGTGTCAGTGACACTGTCCAATTGATGCAATATCATGGTGTGATCTCATTGCCAGAAGTGTCTTGATAAACCAGGACTTAGCCATCTAACCCTACCACCCACAGCTCCGACTTAAACCAAACCATCAAAGTGTCTCAAATCTAAAATCAAAGCCATCTAGACAGACTGGGAGACAAATAGACCACAAAGTTATCTGTCATGTTTCTCGTCCTGCTCCTAGGACGAGAGCTTCGGTCGCTAGGACATGTTCCAACAACGAAGGATGCCATGTCATCCTGGTAACGCCGGCATCTTCTGCCATGAATTCATAACCATAGAAAGTTTTGCTATGAAATTGAGAAAATGTGCCGTGTGGGCCTAACTAATTAATGTTGGCAATGTGAGAGCAAATAGCCACACCTGTTTAGAAGGACATAAAATTGTCATGTTCCTGATCTTTGTGTCGAGGAGAGTGAGAAAACATCTGTAGCTGTGTGGGAAGTAGTATCTAGTTCCTTGTGAATGACATAAACCACGGCCTTTCTCACACTGTTTACATTAAGTATCATTAAGATAAACACACTTAGACCCCATTGTACAAATATCTATCGCCACATGTTTACCGTCTGGCCTAAAAAAACGTAATAACTGCTACAAACTCCTATTGAAATTGTTCCCCGAAAATACTGGTTTGATAATAGCCTTGATGATATTTTTTCGATGAAACTTTCAAACAATCATTAGCTCTGAAGATAATACACACAGACTAATCTCCAATGCATCAGCAGAAGCTTGACAAATTCGCAGGAGTAATGTGATAAAATCTGGTGTTTTATTGATGGCAAACGCTGTGTTCCATTTACAACAAGGCATCACCAAACAGGCAAGGAGACAGCAATTGCAGGCCTAACTCAAACCGAAATAACTGGTCCACCCGTGTGCAAGGTTAAAAGAAAGCGATATATTGAAGTAAATAATTCACGCTTGGACAAAGAGACCAGATAGCAATGCACTACACAGTAATTGCATTGGGTCGTGGAGACAATAAAATAATATTCCTATTCAAACAGCCCTGTTAACGATATGCCTAGTCAGGTCTGTCTCTTGTAATTACATGAAAGAGGGGAAATCTTGGAAGGATGAACAAAATGGAGATGGGGGGAAAAAGTGGGCATTTTGTACGAGGTTAACGTAAGCTTGGCTATTAGCTGACGAGCTCCTGGCGAAATTGTACGGATCAAGTCCCGGTCACTCTGGTTAAATTTAACGTTGATTTTTTTCACTTCATTTCCTCGAGACAAAAACAGGTTCTCTGGGCTCTTACAAGCAACGACAAGCTCTTTTAATGAAGCAAGTTCCTTCAGTGCGCACACACAGCTGTCAGTCCTGAATGGACCGTTGTCATGGTAACAATTTCTGAAAGAAGCTCAACGGTAGGCAACATGGCTGCTCCCAGGAAGGCGAAACAATACTGGCCTTGACGGAACATGCAAAAATTGCCTCTTAAATGATGACATTTCAACCAGTTATGACAGATTCCATGGAAAATAACCCACGTTATCATCATTGATGTAAAGTGCCTTTTTTCTAATGGAAAAGAATTTTAAAAATTGGTATAAAAGACGTTTTTCAATAGCACAACTGGGAATTTCAAATTCATTATGACATCCCTAAACAAAACTGGGAAGACGAAGAATGACTTAATCATCTTAACAAGTCGCAGCTACAAGCGAAACGTGTCTTGTGGCACCCTCCCTACCCACTATTTTTAAAACAATTCTCCATGGAAGCATCTTAAACAGAAATTGCCTTCTCAATATAGATTAACGGAACATTTTATGCCATTTCATTAAAAAGGCTAATGTTCAATACCAAGCTTTCACAAAAGTAATGTCAATCACAAAATGAAATAAATTTCAAAGCTGTCTCAATAGAAGCTTAATTGATGTCTAGTCAGAAGCAGGCAAGAAACAATAGTGAGTATTTTTACGGGAAATTGAGGACGACATGTTATTGTGCAGCACATGTCTATCTGTCCAACCAAATAAACAAGGAGGCACTTGGCATTACAAGTCTCAACAGCTGACTTATCATTCCAGTGATAATCTCCATATGGACAAGACATATTTGCATCTCTCACGCTGTTTCCATTTCATCAACAGACAATAACCTCATGCCTGCAAAAACTGAATACATGCCTGACATTCATGAGCATTTTTAGACCACGCGACTGCTATTTCCCTACCAGAATATTGAAAAAAAACATTGAAAAGATTTATTGGAAGTTATGAAAATAGCCTTGTAATCATATCGGCGTAATTATATACACAGCGGCCCATCTGTTTCTGATGAAATAAATCAACACACTTACCATTATAAACCTGTCACAGACGAAGGTAACAAATGGTTAGTGTGCTCAATTTCATTATGCCTTCATGGAAGCTTTTATACATAACATATGCACTATAGCGACACTTGATTCTGGCACGCTTCGTATTTCGCAGTTTATTTTATTATCTCTGTATTATAAGAGTCGCAACATCAATCTCTGGTGCTCTTGTACAAGTGAGGTGAAAATTGGGTTTAAAGTTGCATCCAAGATTATTGCACTTATATAGAGACATGCACACTGAGCTACCAAGCTGCAGTATAACATAAATACCCCACTCAGACACAGTTTACTGACTCCAAGCCGACCAGTCCTTGTTTTAGACCCTTAATGCCGAGCGCCAGACAGGGTAACAACAAGTACCATCTTTTAACCCCTTTTGGTATGATGCGGATCAAACCCCGGACCTTCCGCTCTCTGGATGAACACTAGACCACAGAGGTCTGCTCTTGTACTCACAACCAGCAGGCCATGTTAAGTTATGGAAGTTACAATCACCATAGCCTTGTGAGTGAGTGAGTATGGTTTTACGCTGCTTTTAGCAATATTCCAGCAACATCACGGCGGGGGACACCAGGAATGGGCTTCACACATTGTACCCATGTCGGGAATCGAACCTAGGTCTTCTGCGTGACGAGCGAACGCTTTAACCACTAGGCTACCTGACCGCCCCTATAGCTTTTAGAGCACTTTGAACAACTGCACCATGGACTCAAATTATCACAGGCGTGATACCAAGATGATTCTTGGAATGGGATGTGGTATTGGTCATATCCAAAGACAGTTTTCATCCATATAGTATGTTCCTTGGCACCAAGATGTTACTTGGTGGTTTAAGGACCTCATGCTAATTTCCAGAATCTCGGATTACATTATTGGCAAAGTCAATCATATTCTCTCCATTGAAGGGGAAATTCCCATACAACTCAATAGCCTCCCTGCCATGTGCGGTTTGTCAATAATCAGTGATTACAATCAGCCAAGTTAATCCTGG